GCTAAGTAAAGTGTCCAACTGGTGCTACCAGTAACTTTTAGCACTTTGCAGTTCCTGGGCGTCGCTTGTTTCCAGATAGTGACGCTACTGAATTATAGATAACTTGCAACTGGTAACTTCTAGAAAAACTCTAGGCTAACTCGCTATGTTTATGTTATGACCTGATATGTTAAAGCTTGTTATGATGATATTTTAGCCAATTTCCAACTATTCCCAATTTTATACAATAAATTACCAATTTGTTTTCCCATTGAATTTGTTCAATTTTCTCCCGTTACATAAGTATATGTTGTTTGTTTTGTTTTAGTTCGGACAGCAAATCCACAGCTAGTATGTAAAACCTCACCGATCAAAAGAACCTAGTCCATGAAGGCCGGATGTTGTATTGAGACTAGTTCTAACTAAAAGACATTGTATTAGTATTGGATCACTGTCAACATGTGTCTTATGAGCTGCATTGGAAAGTGYATCGGGGGATTTTGCAAATGCTTCGGTAAAACTCTTATGGGACTATGCCGTGCTATMTGCCGGTGTTTTTGCAATCCCTTATCCCCTGGTGCGGGGTTYTTCTGTCAGATTATCCTATACGCGCTATTCCAAGGCTTCAACATYGGTACAGATGTCGGTATCTTTYTGGAGACGACCAAGACKTACGCCAAGTGTTACGATCTCGCAACCACGCCCATCTACGTAAGCAACACAACGAACCTTACAGACGACATCTACTGCGTTAACAAGCTCGCTAATGCAACACAAAGCAACCTTCTGGACCAGATAGGAACTTTAAGGATCCTYGARGGYGTGTTCTTCTTCTTTATCTGTCTGTCTGGAGGAATCTACGTTGTACACATCGCTGTTTTATTCCCCAACGCCTGCAAGCACTGGAAAGATCCTAACTTTGAAAACATGCTMGGAGARGCACCTGCCTACTACCAGAAGATMTTGCAGATTCATACGCTGTTCCTGTTGCTTGAGAGYGTCATTCATGATATGCCAATGTCCTCGTTAGCCATCGAGATGTGCGCGCAGATGTGGGGCATYGGAGGAATCAACTGTTGGGAGTGCGCATCGACGCTAGAAGGACTTCCAGGACCGCAGTCTTTGCCAAACTGTAGCCAATGGCTGGGTTTGTTGCTAGGATCYATTGCTCTTGTTAGCATCTATAAAGGTAGGTTATACAATCAAGTTTTATACAACTTTTCAGTAAAATCAGACRTTTTGATTGGTTGGCTTTCGTGTGTTATCAAAGTATAGATACACGGATTATGTCAAAACTAATTGTTTGTTGTATAAAACAGATAGATCTCATTTTTCCGTGCGTGTGTACTCTAATAGATACACAGATGACGTCAAAATGTAGTGAGAACAACAGTCACGCACTCGACTGCGTCTTGTGCGTACTTTTTTATTCTCACTACATTTTGACGTCATCTGTGTAACTATTAGAGTACACACGCACGGAAAAATGAGATCTATTTGTTAAATAATATACATCTAACTACTCTGCGAAAAGGGCTACTTTCTCCACTGCCTCGTGGTCAATACCCGATCTGGTAAATCTACTGTCGGCGCAGTGAAAACTAACCAATTTCATTCATTTTTCCACAGGAATTCTTCCACTCTACGCTTGGATAGGCAACCCGTTCTGCTGGGCATGTTATCCACTACGAATATGCATCGTCCTTCCAGCCGGCTTTCTGTACTGTGTACTCACCCTTGCTCCAGCCATGGGTGTAGCTCTTAACCGCCTTTTCGCCGTGGAACCGTCCATGAAGGATGAGATGGGAACGTTTGCTGACACGATATGGACCTTTGGTTTGTTCTTCTATGGCATCATTGGCATCGTGGTTTTCTTGTACTGGTTTATGTGTGGCAAGTGCATTTGTGTTATGTGCTGTGAATGTAAAAAGAAGGATAGTAAGGATGGTGGTGGGTGTTTGTGTTGTTAAGTGGGTAACTAGGGTTCTTCTTCCATGTGGGATAGTCATAGAAGTTAAATACTGCGCATGTGCAGTCGCAAGTTGTGCTTACTTGAAAGGATACAATATAAAGTAAGAAAACTTGTTCTTTAGAGAAATCAAAAACGATAATTGAGATAGAAATCAGCCCCATTGGATGCCCGAAAACCATTTAAGGGCAAACATCAACTTGAAAAATTCCTGTGGATTTTTAATGTAAGCTTGTGAACTGCAAATCGTGGAATTATTATCATATAGCTTACATAATGATTTGAATCATTACTTAGAATTACCAATTCAGTCATAAGTCATGTACTAACAGTAGTCCTAAGTTGAGGCCGGGGTAGCTATAATTAGTAATTAACTGCAAGTTGTTAGCATCATTTTTGTAAAGATTACTTGTACATTTTTGTTTAATTWATGAACATTTTTCATTAATGTGTACATTTTTTTTATCAAACGTACAAGAAAGTTACGTTTAAAATTGTGTTGATGTCAGGTACATTCAAACAAGTTAGTAACAATTATTTTTGATAAGTAAGGCTTTAATTTATTGTAATATTATGTTATATATTGACACTATTGGTAGCCATAGAAACCTGGTTACCAATGTTCCCCACCCATCCCTCTATGGGGAAAAATCAACTAAGAGGGGGAGGGGAGTATGGAATTGCAGCTGGACAGAATTAAATTGTAGCTTATTTGACTTAAATAATAATAATGTTTCATGATTATTTTTGTAGTTTTACTAATAGCTTCTCAACAAAATCAAAAAGAAGCAAATACTACAAGAGATTGTAAAAAAACATTAAATTATTATAACTAGATATCCAGCATTTCCTACAATAATCTATATTCTTGTTGGATTAAGTCAAGGGAAAGAAAAATAAACTTGAAAAACTGAAATGATGTTTTAATCTTCACCTACTATAAACACAAGATCCTCAAATCCACATTTTTGCTAAGAGCGCGTCTCGATAAATAAAAGCGTGTAATACTTTCGTTCTATTCTACTCGAAATCAATAGTTGGGCGGCCTATGCATCAGTGAGAAATAACATTACACAGGAAACCCATTCGCGCAATTTTGCATAGACAGGCACCCCAACTCAATTTTGAAGAGTTTAGAATACATTTCACTGTAAAAAAGAACAAGTCTAGATTCTGATGTCATTTTAATCTCTACGGGTATATTTTTCCATATCATCTTATTTAGAATTTTTTCTAAGTCAAAAACCTCAAGTTGGGATTCCTGTGTGGCGCAGTGGTGCATAAATGCCTACGTAAATCTGAAATGKTATGGCTTTCGTGAACAACTTGATATTGTCGAYCAGAGRTCTTGTTCATAGCTTCTCATTTWACTAAAAGGACTTGGAAATCATCAGTTAATCTRGTACTTKCTGGACGAGTTGTTTATCAACAAGGATCGACCGTATTTTCTGGTGTTTGAGGACAAATTGGYGGGATAGTCTCTTGTTGATTGTCAGACCATGAAACATACAAACTTTGATTATTCTCAGAAAACTTAATGACAATTTCACCGCTAGKTATCAAGAACCTATCGCTATATTACATCAGAAAGGTAAGTAATTGTGTATTTTGTTTATTTTAAATGCAGGGTGTATGAAGAATTCATAGTTTTGTCGTAATGTTGTTGTGTCAAAGTTCGCTGAACTAATATCTTCGTCAAAACTCTAGAGATGTTCCTCGCACACAAGATTTCATTTATTYGATTCATTTCACTTATAATAGACCTACATTTTACAGTTTACAGTAAGAATTTCAGTAAAAGATTAATAAAGTATACTAGTATTGGCTGTTTATTTGCTTTTTGCTTAGTAAATTCCTTAAGTTTACTGTACATTTTTACTACTAAAATATTTCATCTGACATACTTTATTCTGTTACTATTATTATTATTATTATTACTATCACTTATTTATGGTCGTTTTCGTTATTTTTATAATCGTTATTATCCATCAACGATTCTAAATACTTTGAAGGCCACTATGAACACATTCCTTTCCGCGTGACTTAAGTATCGTGACATTTTATTTGCGTGACATACTGTAGTGACATACTAGATACCCCGATAACACGAACACTTCGCGCTATTGCAAACTTATAATAATTACGAATGGAAGCTACTAAGCCTATCAAACTCCCGATAGCTTTCTCTAGTTATCGCAAGCGCTCTTCTCTTTCCTAGCCTGCGTAGCGGCTCTATAGAAGGGGGGAGGGGTTGCTAGGGGTACGGAAGCAACATGATTGTGTGACCTTTGATATCGTCTAACTTACCAACGAGCGTTCCTGTTTACATGACAACGCGTAACGGCCCGTTTAATTTACGTSGGTTACACGTACCCACCAAGATTGCGTTACATTGAAATTTACTAACCACCCTCCCCTCCCCTCTCTTAGATATTTGAAGAAAGATACAAAAATGTGTGACCGTGCATGTGAGTTGATGATTGCATGTTGTGGAACGACGTGTCGAATGTGCTGCAAGTACATTTCATCCAAGACAGCCTTCCTTGTACAATTRCTTATATATGGTATTCTGCAAGGCTTTAACGTTGCTACCGATATAGCGTTATTCGTAGAGCTCTTCAATACTCACCAATCATGCACCTCACTAAACAMAAGTTTGSCAATTCAATGYGCATCGCTGCCACCAGCCAACATATCGATGACAGCACTCCAAAACAACATTAAATACATTGAGATACTTCAGTATTCATTGCTAATAGTCACGGGTTTAGGAGCAGTTGTGTACATCGTTCATATCGCTATTCTTATACCAAACCTTTGCAAGCATTTTCATGATCCTGAAATAGCAGCTGAAGTTGAAGCCAAGCAGGCTCCAAGATACTACACAAACATTATACTAACGCATTGTATCTTCATGTGCCTGGAGACGTTTATTCATGATATACCAGCGACGTGTCTTGTGATGGAGATAGCTGTCCATTTCTGGGGAGTGAATTGTTGGGAGTGTAACACTATTAATATGCCTTTACCTGTAGAGCAGTCAGTCAGTAATTCTACTATGTGGATTGCATTGATGGTTACGTGTGTGGGACTTCTTGCCATCTATAAAGGTTTGAAAAGYGTTTTAATTTTTTCCCGTTCATCCATCTTTCTTTCTTTCGTTTCTCTTAACCCAACCGTTTTCTAGTAGTAAACTTTAAAGTAATTATTTTGCTATAAAGTTACGATAATTAAGACCACGATAAGAACCAATAAGGTACATATAGCCATCAAAGTCTGCTTTTTTATTTTATTTTATTTTTATTTTAATTGTGAGGTCTCACGTAGTTACGAAACATTCTTGCATTGTTCAACAAGGATTTTTTTTTACGGTGTTAAATTTATCTTTTTACACAACTGTTTCTTTAGAAACACCGACGCAGCTCACACCATTTTATCGCTAGTTTCAATTATTTTCACAGAGATTTTTATCTTTTATTATATTCTAATGTATTCCAGGTTTAATACCATTGTATTTCTGGGTCGGTAATCCATTCTGTTGGAGCTGYTATCTTCTGCGATTCTTGATCGCTATGCCTCTTGGGTTACTATATATGGTGATGACCCTTACTCCATGTATGGGAGTAGCATCATTAAGGTAATGCCATTGACTCGTAACCTTATTTGGTAATTTTACCATATATGTAGCTAAGGTGTGATTTTCGGTTGATTTTCCGAGTCTTAAAAGGTTTGAATTGCTGTAGAAATCCAGTTGTTTTTAAGAATGAATAAACTGTGGGCAACATTAGGAGCCTGGCCTCCACAGGGATCCTGCTGTCACTAGAACGGATTTCGTATGAGTGGGACACCGTTACCGCACAGTTACCGGACCTGGCMTGCACAATTTTGGTGAACCAACGGGGCACTAGAATTTGGTTACAGTACGATTACGGTCGCAGTACAGTACCGTCCTTTTCCCACTCATACAAAATCCGCTCTATGATGGTTGTGTCTTGTAGGTTGATACCAAAGATTCCTCGTCTAAAGGAAGAAATGGGAGGMACCGCTGACACCTTCTGGTCCATTGGGCTCGTCTTTTGGGTCCTTGCTATAGTGGGGGTTCTTACSTATTACTGCTGTAAAAATACTATCACGGACCTTTGYCCGTGTTTAAGCTGGTGCGAGGAACCGAAGACACGTGGAAAGGAAGAGAAAGAACCCGGATGTATTTGCTTYTAGACCAARTGYYATCTAATACCATAATMCCTTGCGAMCTGCGWCCATARYGCTTTGCGACTTGCAAATAAATAACCGTCATGCTTTGTAAGATGTTAACCATCATGCCTTGCAATATGAAAAGACCACAATGCAATGCGATTCAATACCATCATGCATTGTAACTRTTTATCGTACATTGTAATAAGGTTTTACTAAAGTTAAAATGCTGTCACAATTTTTGTATGTTTATAAAGCTGCTCTTATTTTATTTTTTTGTGAAAGTGTAAAGTTACTTTAATACTATATACTATAAAATATATATTTGCCTATGTAGATTAAATTCAATGGCGCAAAAACACTGCTAATATACTATTGCGGGCATTAAACCCATCGAACAAGTCTTGCCATGAGACATTTTCCTTGAAAAATGTTTCACGTTTTCAAACCGTCAATGAGCTTCCAGACCGAGAATTTTGAATAACTGAAAAGTGCATATATAATTATGTATATGGCAGACCCGAGATTTTTTGCAGGCTAAAGACCGTGGACTGTGTGCTGGTGACGATAACGTTTTTTRAAATAGGTGTATCATAGTTTGAAAACCAGGCTTTCTTCGTTTAAGTTGACATAAAAATTTTGTGGTGTGAGTATAAACAAACACTTGTGGTAATACAATTATCAATAGATTCTCCCTGCAGCGGTAATTAGGCGCCCATGTGGACCTATAAACACATCCTTAACACGTCATCTAAAAGTCTGTTTGACAAGTAGGCTTTTCTCACGTAAAAACACGTACAACGTACACCAATTACGGAAATGACAACAGTGACCAAAAACATTCAAATCTAGAATAAACTTGTTTCAAAAACTTTGATTTCTTGGGCCGGACGATGGATACTGCGCTAATTCACAATATTTTTTCTCGTCTTTCCTAATCATTAATTTTTATGTCAAAGWCTGTAATTTATTTATTTAGTTCAAAATAAAACAGATTAGTTCTGAACACTCTACACAATAATTATGGATTTTATCTGCTATATATAGAGGATATTACATGGGCGCGCKGATATACGGATTTTATCTTGGAGTAAAAAGATCTCTCACGAGTGAGCGTAGCGAATTATGTCGTAAAATACCTTTTTTTCTTACTTCCACTATATAGAGAAACCTCGAATGTGTGTTATTTTTACTAGTCAAGCCAGTCAAAATAATAACTTTACGTAATRGAGAAATATAGGTATTTATAGATTATGATAAGAAGCTTTGTCCCATGGACAAATTCACCGTTCGTACAACCGACCCTTCAGGGAATATAAGCCCGAGGCTTGGATCGTATCCATTCGCTTACATCCACAACCGCTAACTTCTTCATAAAGTGTGGACAACTCCGGAATCAAAGATTCTTTTTTCGAAATGCTCGGTGCTCGATTTGCTTGTCTTCTTGTTTTCTGTCATGAATTAACGCAAATATTGACATGGGGACGATCTAATTTCTCGACTAATAATCCTTGTTTGCATATTGTCAGTCAAATAAGCTAAATTAGTTTCGTTAAAGATGGTCAAAGTGTAGTATTTTAACACATGACTGATGTACAAATTATCAAAACTATGTAGAGCTATCAATGTGTCCGTGAAGCGCTTTATCATAACAGTTCACTGGTGTTCCTTTTCCCCCTTTTCTTAATTTGAGTGAAAGAGGTACATTTTTTGTCCTGCATGGCGGTGTACATTTTTTTTTTTGAACAAGCACGAATCAGTGCCCCGATTTAAGAAGATTTTGGTCACATCCTTTCAACACAGTATATAAAGTTTAGGGGAACTTTAACATTACGCGATTTCTGTTTCCGCATCCCTCCGACTGCATATCTAGTGTTTCTATTGTCCTTGAACACTCCAATAATGACGCGGCCCTGACAAATAGCGAGTCACTGACAAATAATGACGCGTCCCGAGTCCCTGGCATGAGTTGAAAAGAATTAAAATTCTAATATATGTTTGTTGATAAATTAAAATAAAATGAATGTGTAAATTAGTTTAAAAGTTGTTTTTTATGATGATAAGCAATATTCATCAAACTCGCTGAACGTACGGGCTCGTCTTTTAGCAAGAAAACTGATAAGAAAACTTACAAAAACAGTAACAGTACTTCTAAGAATGACATTATTCCTAGCCATTACTAATACTGCCTTATAATCAGTTTTAGGGACCGGTTTACGAGTGCAATTATAAGTGTCATGCTATCCTGACCGTTAACGGCTCTGCATTGGTCGTACATTTGTARCAATATAGTTTTSTCACATTKCTATTATTATGTTAGCAAGAGTGATAAAAATAGATCTGATCCTTTTTTCCTTTGTCCATTTTCCCTCCCTTCAGTTTATTTCTTTATTTCTTAAATTTCCCTTTTCGTCTGGCTAACTTCCTTCTTTTGCCTTTCTATCCCCGTTTTAAGCATCCCCTTTTATTCTTTTTTTCTTTCTTCTCTCCTCATTTCATTTCTATATTTCATTCAKCCATATTAATATCACAAAGTTGTACGATATCATGGCAGTACTGTAGCCTGTCTTTTACAAGCGTTTTTCGTGCAAGGCTAATAAGAATTTAATTAACGTAAGCAGTATTTTTCCCTCAATTCTTATTTTTCGTGATTGGATCCTTCAAATGGCGCAATAATTATATCATGGCCATCAAAACCCTTGATAATAAAGCCATTAACGATAGTKCGCACTTCGCATGCTATGGTCTTTAATCTTTGATTAAGTTGGTKTCACCCCTTTTGTGGCTGAACTTCGTTTCACGAACTCTGCATGTATTTTTAATGTTTCTCCAAAAACGATAGCTCTTAATAGAAGCGTTAACAAAGATAACAGTTGATAGAGCATTTTCGTGCTGACGGGAAGTGTAAATGATCGTCAATTAGTATCAGCTTTACAAAGTGTTCCCGTGTGGACAGAATCAAGACACAAGTTACCAGGACAGCAACGTGCGCGGTCCCAACTATGCATCATAGCTTTTGTCTTTGATGTTTGGAAAATTCTTAACAGGGCTTTAGATATTTGTTGCTTGATCACTTATGTGACGGAAAAACAAGTTAGAATTTTTTCGTCCAATCAAGAATGGAAAACTGTTCAAATTGCCCCAAAAGCGTTTTAAGCGCCGTTTAGTGCTGTAGAGTCATCGCTACAATTAGGTTCCAAAAGCTTTCATATTTCTAAATATCGATCATTCTGTTTTTACATTTTTCATAAAAGAACAAACAAGAGGAGACAATGGGATTAAATTGAAAAACACAGCTAATTAATTCACGAATTGTAAGAGAAAAATTGCTTTTTCAAACCTGTTTAACAGTTACGCGGCTGTTAGCTCTTTTTGATCATTACATGCTTCAAGCGTTCTATTTCTCAGTTCTTTTCTGGTTGAAAATTTCAGAAATGATTTTGATTTATATATCTTAAAATATACACAACCATGTGGCTTAGATAATGCTAATTACCTTAGCCTTAGGGGTTGCATTGGGCATAAAATATCGCAATATTCTTAACTATAAACACAGTTTGTCCTTTTCGACTATCCATGCTGTAAATAACTTCATTAAACAGTAGTTTTCAAGAATCCTTTCAAGTCAACAATATGTCGAAAGAGGTCGTAGAAGTTTACAATAACTTTGCTTATGCGTTAGTGGTTTAGTATGGACAATAGCAAGTGGTTTATTGTAATTCTAATAAGAAGCCCTACAAAGGAACAGTCACTATCATCTATTGCTAATGCTTTAGGAACATTACCCAACTTGAAAAGACATGTTTTTCCTGCAGTCGATATGACATGCTGAGAGCGGAGTTTTACATTACTTAGATTGTCTAACAAAAAGGCAATTTMTCCCGCTGGTTCAGTCCACGTGGTCTTCGCTATTCAAATGCAGATCGATCTAGATGCTGAAAGTATCTTTTTTAAAATAGTCTTTGAACAGCTTTAAATATACAAAAGCGTGTTAAAATCTACAAATGAAAATAATGTAGTGAGAGAGTGATTTTAAGTAAACTTGTTTAGCATTAATTTTACCTTAGTTTTTTCACTAAGATCGACCAGAAATGAATTTTTTTGAGTAGCGAGAAAAAGAAGTTGATATTCTTTTTAAGATAGATATTACGTCAGTAAAAGAACCACTGAAATTCTCAGTATTTTTCATTCTGGAAAAAAAATTGATGTTCTCTGTTATCCTTTATCGATAAAAAACACCAAAACACACAAAACTAATAAGTGATTTACTTTGATATTTTAATAATGTAATATAATGTCAGTCATTAGGACTCGCGGCGTCTCTCATCGATGAATTTGCGTGTGCAAAATGCATTGGTCACTTTGAAACTGAGACTMAAAAAAAGTCCCTAAAATAAGGAATTCCTTTCAAAAAACTCTACAACTAAAATAGTTCACAATGCAGTAGATAGTACAGAAAGGAAGAAAAATATTTCACAATTATACTCTGTGCGATCGGCGGTTCAAAAACCGACTGAAAATCCATGCACCAAATTGAAAAAGAAGTTCAACTTTTTAAAAAGCTTCAAGACAGTCTGTTTTATCGCGAGTGTCGTATGCTAAGAAGTAGTTCACGGTCGCAAATACAACAAGTACATGACAGGGGTGATGTTTGCACAACTTAGCCCTTTCCAGTTGTCAGTTATTTTAAGGTATACGTCACTGTTCAAGCAACCAATGAGCGTGTAGTACGGGACTATCCCCTATAGCAAGTGTTGTGTTAGCATAGTAGATAGAGCGCTGAGCCAGAGTAACACCAAGTCACCTGTTTGCCCGGTTTGATTTCAACTGACTAAGCGTTTCCGGTCCTAACAAGTCGATTTTTAGTGTCAAAATTGAAAATAACAGCTCTTTGCCAGTTTTAAAAGAAAAGTTATTGGCACGACTTTGATTGTTTTTTGCTTTCCTTCTCTATGTCTTCGCCATTGGCCGTTCAAGGCCGGGCAACGCACGCAGACGAACTGTCCGATCTACATATGTACTTTTACGAGAGACCGAAGAGAGTACGAGCTAGAAAGAGTTATCGTGAGTATATTTCTGATGAAGAAAACGAGGAGTTTGTTGTTACAAGAGAAGATGACGATGATGTCATGAAGAAGAAAAAACCAAAAGGTAGGTTTAAACAAGTTATCCTCAACATCTTATGAAATTGAAAATATTATCAAGAGTTAGTTTACAGTGAACGGAGAAATATTATTTTGAATTCAATAGTTGGAATCATTATGGTCTGTTGTGTTTTTAACTTTGATTTTACTCTATCGGGGGCACTTTCTTCGTGGGAATTAAAAACACA